AATATAGATTTTTATTTTAGTTTTCCGTACTAAAAATCTAATAACGAGTTATTTACGTTGTTCATCGTTTACAAATTTACGGGTTTTCTTACGGATTTTAGAAATGCATTTTTTACACGACCGCGTCTGTTTGTGTTACAGAACATATTCATCATGTGATGCGTTCTTGTAAGATTTTATATTTGTATCAAAATTCAAATTTACATAAACGGAGGAACGTAATTTCGTGTACACACAGTCGTTTTAATGAAGAGTAAATGTACATGTATCGTCGGTTTTCTTTTAATTCGTCAACATAATTTATTTCCACTTGTTACGTTCAACGTTTTGGTGAATATTATTCGTATAATGTGTGTGTCTGTAGAAGTGTAAAAAATAATCGCATAATTTTGTACATTACTGTTGAATACGGACTGTACGCGTGCAGTCATTGATCAAAATGTGTGTGTATCGATGCGTTTCGAATTTTAAAGTTAGTTTTCGTTTACCGTATGTCATTATTGTATTTATGTACGTAAATTGTATTTGTCCGCCGAAACTAGAGCTTTGACGGTATACCGTGGACAGCGAAAAATGTCTAAAATCACGTTAGTAAATAAGACAAAACACGCTTTTTGCGCACAGTAGGTAATATAATTGTTCACGAAGCGATCTTGCTTGCACGCTTGGAACACGTATTGTATTAACACAAGAAAAAACTGTTCACGAACGTGGGACAGGCAGAATCTCGGAGAACACGGAGTGCAGTGCACCTGGTGCAGCCCGCAGTACGCGTACGGGTACTTACGCGTAACACTACGGATACGAGCACTACGAATAATAGTAATAATAAAATAATAATAACGAACGATGTTAGAACGGAAAACAAATTAACATTATTACGGAAATGTCCGTCCACTTGTAAATTACACATTCGCAGTCCGTTGACCGTTTCGTTAATTTTATACGTAAAATATTATAAGCTACTGCGGTGAAAATGGTCATCGATTAACGAGCACACGCATTGAAATGACTCGGAATGAATTGGTAACACACGGCTGGAGGAGAAAAAAAAATTACCATCAATTCCGTTATTGTGATCGTATGTACACGCCAGATCATTGAAGATACTAAGGATGTGGTAACTGGTAACCCTAAGGTAAGTGTGTTGGCAGTACCGGCACTATGGTTTGCGAGGCTCCGCGCAATTTATAAAAGCGAAGCTCCCTCTCCCAATAGCTGAACAATTAAAAATATGTGACTGTACCATCTTAATCCTTATTTATATATTATTATTTTCGATTTATTAGTATTCCATACAGTGATTACCGTAGTGGCGGCCGTAGAACTTGCGTGCAACTCGCACTCAACAAGTTTATTCGAAAATATATAATCGTACACATTACGTACACCTGTGCGGTTACACTTGCTGCGCAACCGTCGCACCGGCTCTGCGTATAGGCTGCGGGTCCCGTGGCCCCTGGATGACGTAGCCATTCGACCGGCGTATTGAGTATTTATTAGGTATCAACTATTAATCAACGACGTGTGGGTACCGGTTACCAAGTCGAAAAAAAAAATGAAAAACTAACTAGAGTCGATTAATTTTCGTTCGTAAATCGTAACTTCAACATAAACGAAAAAAAAAAAATTAAAAACACACGTTGATCTCGTTTTAAATAAACGCTTTTTAGTATACACATCTTGATAAGCGGAAATGTTTTGCGATATCGTATTGAACATTTTCCGTGTACACATAAACGTGTGCGCTGATGATCGAGAGAAAAAATGATAAAATGAAAATAAATAGATACAACTTAAACAGTAACGTTCAAGTCGTACATCTTTTCTACACGAGTGGCTTAGCAAGACGCATTCTTTCCGTTCGGTCATTGGCTACTAAACCGATGCAATTAGAACAGTAGTTAACTTAATCCATCCGTATGAACGCGCGCGCTACACACCGACGTCGGATACTGCGCAGGAGCGAATCGCGACGGCGGGTACGAAACGATATTGTGCGGCGAAACACACGCGTTTTGGCACGCGTACTCGACCGCGGCGAGAGGAGGTGGAGGAGAATGGGGGAAAAAAAAAATAATAAATAAATGAAAAAAAAAAATACGAATAAAAAAAAAAAAAATTGCCGGACACAAAATCCGTCGAAAAGGTCGCCGAACCGGCGGCCGTCCGCCGCGCAACCGCTCTTGGACACAGCGAGCGTGTGTGTAATTTATACCCGCACGATGATGTAACGTGGCAATGCTAATTACCCGGTCGTGTGCGTAGAACAATGCGCACTTATCTCTCCTCTAAGAACGGCGATCGTACATCTACGATACGTACTTATACGTATATAACCTGCACACGCACGCTCGAATACGTATTTACGTGTACACGCGTTACGTGTAAACCGTGTGCGAGTATGTCCGCGCGTGCGCGTTTCGAGCGCATCGCGTGGTACCCCAGGTGAACGTCGTACACGTAGTTGTTGTGCGGGTACTATGTACGGGATGGGCGCGGGACGGTTGATACACCGACACACGTTCCTTTTCCGTGTACGGGGTGATATTAAAATAAACACACCAGTTCATTGTAATCGTACGTGGTAATAATATTCGTTTGAACGAAACAGAAAGAAAAGTAAAAAAAAAAAAAAAAAAATTTTATGTTGTACGTTTATTAGGTATTTTTTATCATATATATCCTATATAGTTTTTCCACGAACACATGCGCACGTCGTTTGTACGGACATGCGCTTTAACTACATACGTGCACATTCAATGTTTTACTGTTTAATCGAAATTGCTGCGGCTCGCGCTCAAGATAATGCGGATGGTTAATATTTAGCATATCGGCAATACGGAGCAAGAATTGAAAACAAAAAAAAATAATTGGCAATGTGTATTCCTTATTTATTTCTTGAGCTATCTATTGATGACCGAAAAAGAACAACGAATGAAACATGACGGGGTGCACGTCGATAAGGAACTTCATACCCATAATAAAGACTCGACACAACGAAGAATCAATTGAACTAAAGGGGAATGAAGACTTTGGACGAAGGAAATATTTAGAATGTTTATTTCTAATATGTATTACATAATATTTATTAATTTGTTGTTCTAAACAACAAAAAATATCATTGTGTAAATTGTACTTAAAAAAAAATAAACTTATATAATTTAAATATCTTTCGTGCTATTAAAGGTGTATTAAAGATATATGGTCACTATTTATTTTGGTAATTAAACATTTATTCTTTAAAAGCTTACTACTTCGAATATTTTTCGGATATCGATTAATTATGCTTATTATACGTTTGTTAAAAATACCTACCTCATGATACCAAATTAATTTTGTTAAATAAATGTAAAAAAGTCCTATATTTTTGATTACCTACTTAGAAATATTACGCTGATCTATTGAGCAATATGATTAATTTTTATAAATTAATGTTACGAAATACGAAAATATATTTAGTACGATAGTATATTTATGGTTATTTTTAAAGAATTAAACATTATTTTACTGCAGTTTTGGTGTAAACGGTTATTTAACGCATTTAATATAATTAATTTTTTTGTGTGGGTCGTTAATTATTTTAGTAGTAATTTATGGTACAACAGATAAAAAAAAAAAAACGAACATATATAAAAAAAATAATTAATTAAATATTACAACGGACCCCGTGATTTAGTCATTAAATACTTGCAGTGAACTCAATGATTTGAAAATATTGTAATACTACACACATCTGTTGCTCGTTTCAGTTTTCGTTTTCAGTAAACAAAAAAAAAAAATAATTTTTTTTAACTCTCATATTATACATTATAGCGGATAGAAATATAACGTTTCTTATGTTACTCATTTAAGTGACTTGACAAAATAAATTTAAAAAAAGAAAAAAAACATTCAATGAATATTGATGTTTAACAGTAATTGTTTAAAGAAAATCACTGTACCCAATGAAAACGTAATGATTCTTATATGCGGCTTCAGTTGAACAAATAATGAAACGACACGATAATATTACTTTGACAGTTTGACCGAAGTATATCACATATTTTATATGTGTATTTAAAACAAGGTACTTTAAACGCATGCACATTGAAATAGTCGAAATTTCAAAATAACAATAAAAAATAAAAAACAAACGAGGTAGTAAAATGTTCGTGGAGTCAAAAATACATTTAATAATAATTAGGTACATTAAATAAATGTACGGTTCGTAAAAAAACCTAAACCAGTCTTGTTGATGTGGGAATTTAGAAGATCGACGAAATGAAAAAAATCAAAACCATTTGTAGCCATGTATGGTGCGTAATAGTATAATGCTTTTTAAAATTCCAATCGAAAGTCAAATGTGCTTATACATAAGGAGTATATTATTATCGAAATAAAACTCAATAGCCGCGCACGTTAAAGGTTTTCATAACGAAACGTTTTTATATTGAATCGGATTTTCGACCGAAATGCGTTTTAAGGGCGTTCGGCGAGCGCATAGGAGTGTCCACGGCACGCAGGAATGTCCAGCAGGTGCAACGGTAACCTTGCGGTGACGAGGGTTTTAGACGCGTACGTAAATTGCATTTTTCGTGAACGCGAAAATATACGTATCGAACAGGGCGCAGGAAAAAAGGAATCGAACGGTACGCGATGACCGCACAAAACATTATAATACTTATACAACACACATACATATATATATATATATATATATAGTCGCCCCTTATAAGCGCACCTCATACGCAGCACGTGGTCTTCGAACACGTCGACGGGTGAGTGCACGGGTGACCGTAGGTTTTTTTCCATTATTGTTGTACATCTTTTTATTTTTTCTTCTCGTTTTCCCACCCGACCACGTACACCCGTGTGTACATGCGCGCGTCGGAGGGTTTGACCGGAACGAACAATGGAGAGACCATGCCGCACACGCGGGGCTGTGGCGAGCGCGTCAACGGCGGCGTCAGTTCGGGCCCGGCATATTACGCTTTCTTTCACGCACACACACGCGCGCGCACGCACGTCTACATGCGCTCTAGACTTTGGGCTCGTAGGGTGCAGAGGGGGAGGGGGCAACGGACACACGTATTGTACGAGATCGCGAGAGGCCGCCTCAGACACACACGCGTCGACGTACATGCAGCGCGTCTTCTCCGAGCACAGTTAACCGCCGCACACGACCGCACGAACACGGACGAGCGCACACCACATCTGCCGGACGCAACTGCTGCTGCGATCGATCGTCCAGCGCCCGACCCGGTCCCGTAGCACGTTCACGCACCACCTGTGGCACGTCGCCGACCTAGCACCGACCACACGCCGGGTTACCGCGGTAGCGGACGGAGCACGACAGCGGACAGCCAACAGCGAAGTTAACACCCGCGCACAGCCCGTCACCACCGACGACGCCGTCATGATTGCTGCCGGCGCGCGGGTCGCACTGACCGTGGTCACGATATTCGCATGGTTCGCCGCAGGTCAGTATCTTTCTTACGCGCGTCGTCTTCAGGGTACCGCGCGTCACGTGACCGTCGCGACGCGCTCGTCCGGGCCCGGAAGCGTTCCGTCGACGCTATCGATACGACGTACGACCGACGGGATGGTAGCGCGGCCTTTTTCAACCTCCCGCCCTCCCGCCTTACCATCGGGCCAAGAACGTTTCCGACCGCTTATCCGACTTTCTCCCGACCGTTTTCCTTCGAAAACATTTCGAACGCGTAACGTATTCGGCACTGTACCGCCGAACCGGACAAATATCGACTTCAAGCTTCCGTTGCTCGGTCAGCCGGCTCGAGACAACAATAAGAACCCGGGAAACGTAATAAATTTAGATCGTGATTACATACACATATTATGTATTTAAGTCGTTGCAATAGTCCATTTACATCGGTTAGTCGATTGCAGAACTAGTTCGGTGCGCAAGTCCAACAGTATTGCATTTGTGCCGAGGACTTTAATGATGGGTGTTTTTGTCGATTTCAAGTACGTTATACATTTTAATGCATTCAATGATTGACATGTAATCCGTATAAAAATAACCCCGCTCGTTGCCGCCATAGAGCAGGTTAGGTTAGGGGTCAGCAAGTAATTTACATCGGAGTCCTAAAGTTTAAAATAATAAATCAACGAGATTCAGTGAAATAAATCTTTTTCAAATCTTTATATTTTAAAAATAGTAGTATAAGAATAAAAATAATTATTTGGTTATTACAACCAATTTATATTAAAAATTAAAATATTAGAAGTATGAAAATAAAAGTTGACAGGTTCAGAGTATTGCCTTTCGCGGTTCGGATTTGGACCGCGGTTCACCAGTTGCCGACCCCTGCCATAGAGTATGCATCACGCACATCGTTTGTTTTCATTATTTTTCTATTACTTTAAATATATTTTAATACTACACGTGTAAAGCATGTTTAATATTTTATATTGTTTAAACAATGTAATATACATTGTAATTCTATACTGTAAGTTATTGAAAAAAACAAAAATTTAACCCTACAGAGTTTCCTGTTTATTTAAAAAAAATACGTCTCTGCCGAGACGCGAAATGTAAAGCGGGTTGTACAGGATCCGCTTATAAAATAAAAAATTATTATTTGAAATACAAACTCATAAATTACCCAGGTTTTTTTTTTAAGTTAATTCCAGTTAAAATATCAACAACGCACGTGTGTATAGAATTAAAATATTTGTCTGTTTTTAATAAGAAAAAAATATGTTTGAACGCAAGATAGAATAGAGTTAGTTAATTTGAGTTCCTCGTGTGTGTATATACCGACAGTTGTTAAGCCATTAGGGTCATTTTAACTTCATTATGACGTATATTATGCAGAAACAAAAAACTACATCCTATGTTGTGTACCTACACACGTATTATGATGATGCATGAGAAAAAGTCAAAGGAGCGAATCGTGTGATGGGCGACTAATTTTTCAGTACTATTATTATTATTATTATTATTACTTATTCTGTCGTTGAAAATTAATTCTTCTCCAGAAATAATTATTCTTAACCATAATGATGATGGTAATAATAATAATAATAATAATAATAATAATAATAATAATAATAACAATAATAATAATAATAATAAATAAAAATAATAATGTTGTAGTTTAATAATAGCGTCGGTTTATCGTCGTATAATATTCGTGTGTGGTGGAAATCGTTGGTTAGGTACCGGAAAGACAATGCTTGGAGGGTTTATGACCTTCAGAGAACACCAGCCGTTTAGAACCATATTACAATTGTCGGTATCTTAGTTCAATACAAAAGAATATCTTGAAAATGTTCATTATTTCGAAAAGCTCGGACACATGAAAAAAAAAATATCTTTTACAAATAATGTTAATGGTTTGTTCGGAACGTAGGTATACATGTATATAGGTATACTAACAGTGTTAAAAATAATAGGATGTGTTATAATATTTAATAGTATAAGAATCGACTACAGCCTTTTTCAATAGGGGGTTATCTATAACAATGTGTATTACACGTATGCATTTTATTTGGATCGTATATATATATATATATATATTGTATGTACATCGACCATCGTATTTGTGATGAGACAAATATAAAAAAATCCCTAACAAATAAAAATGTAATTAACCCGCGATCCGGTTTCGATTTTAAAGTTATACATGTTCAATTATAAACACAATAGCCCAAAGGATTTATTTTAAATAAATCATTTTTCTTTACGTCCATCTCTTCTTCATATATTATAATTGCGTATTTGGAATATACTCTTAATGCAATATACCTATAGTATATATAAAAACAAATTAACATTCAATATGATTGTTTTTGAGTTGAAAATAATAACTAATGATAGACACATGACTATATTAGTCATATAATAACTAATGATACACTGACGTTTATTTAATAAATTATAATTAAATTGAATTATATTATTGGGCAACAGTCGTTGTTCATTAAAAACCGTAAGTATTAATTTTTTTATTACTTTCTGATTAAAGTGTTCTATTTTATTCTATTATTTTTTGTTTTTTTAAACAGCATGTAGTAGGAGAATTATATTAGATAGTAATCAACATTTGAGCGGACATCATTGTAGTGACAATAAAGAGGGTTGACAATTTACTTTGCGTGTATAACACGCATTCTCACGCTTTAATAACCGTCAAATGTGCCGCATATAAAAATACACTCTACTGTTGATTTTAAATAGACATATTACAAAAATGCTTACACCTAAGTTGAAATTAAATAATTTTTTTATTCAAATAAATGATGGATTTCCTCGAAATAATTTCAATCTACATAATTGTTTTGATTTTGTGCTTTCATAAATTCATACGTCATATATTCATAGGTCAATACCAACAATCTAGTACAAAAAAATATATATATATATATATGATGACAATATAGAGTATTGGCATATTTAAACCGAAAAATATTTACAAGATTTTGCACTTTATAGTGGAATTTAAAAATTAATAAACACGTTTTGATGGTATTTATAAAATATTGTATATAATTGGTTTAATTGGTGAATAAAATATTTAAAAAGCAAAAAGAAGAGAGATTAATATATTATTCACAAAAATTAAATTTATTTCAAAAATATTAATAATTGGTAGGCAAATAAATTTTTAACTTATGACATTTGAAAAAATATAAACGACATATTCATTTTATACGAGTACATTCGTAAATATTTAATTTACGTTTTAAAAAATGTATTCACGGTCAATTTTTTTAAATTTAGAGCATTGGTTAAGTATAAAGATAACAGTAATAGAGAATCACAGTTGCAAATTATATTAATTTTTAAAATTAAAACGCACTCTGTGAGTTGATGAATCCTAAACTAAAATACTTACCTCAAATCCAAATCTATTCATTAATTAATTTCAATTATTCATTCAGCTTTGACTATCTATGTAAATTTAATCAATGTTTAGAGTTAAATTTTCTTAGAAGAATTAAAAATGTTAGGTCTGGAATGTTACGAATCCTAACTGACTATAAAATGTTTTCTTCTGTAGCATTGAAAAATAAAACAATCATTGAAGATAAAAAGTTCATTAAATTAATTCTGAAAATTTTTTTAATAATAATAACTATTTTAGAATTGTAATAACATTAACAGGATATACAATTCGTTTAAGATTATATTATTTTTTATAACTTCTACATTCAGTAAAGCCTATTAAAAATTATTAGCAATATTAGCGTTCAGAAATAAAGAGATAGCTGTTGTAAGTAATAAATTATTTTACGACAGGGACCGACAAACAGACTGGTGCAACGTTTCTTTTCACTGTTGATGTATAAAAAACATTTTTCTCATAATACCAAGCTGTGCGTAATGTTTTTTGTGCGCGTATTTGAAGAAGACAAAACATGATTTGCCCTTCGACAGGATTAATGGTCGGCCATTGGCCAAGGACAAACTGGGATGATGAGCCATTAAACTTAAAAAAAATTAAATGTTAAACGATTAGTTGAAAACAAAATCTCATCAGGTGTCAGAAATATGACAGTCTTTTCATTTTAATAATTTTAATGTACTTCAAAATATACTTCAAAGTATTTTAATTTAAAACTCAAGCTGTCAAAATAGTCATATATACGATTAGAGTAATCAGAATCATCTCAAAGAATAATAAAATAACTTGTAATTTGTAGAATATAAAATTAATTATAAATTAAGAAGGAAATTATTCATAGATAACTTGGTAAATAATTAAATCTATGAGCAATTTTGTTTGATAATTCTTTCATTATTTTATAAGAAATACATTTTAAACATATTTTGAAATGACTTAATCCTACAAATGCTAAAACTATCGTATATTCGCATACAATCATTATCCATGATTCATTCATTGGGTTAAAAGTCAAAAATTTAATTTAATTAATACTTGGTATGACTAATGAATCATAATATTTAATATAAATTTAAGTTATTTTTCATAAATTAAAATTTTTTCAGGTCAAAGAATAACAACAATTCAGTTGGATGGTACTCAATATTACATAAGCAGAATGAATCCATATTCAGCAGAACTCAATTACTTTTTGGCATATGAATACTGTAGATCAATTGGATTGCAGTTGGCTTCATTTGAAACGCTAGAAAAAACTAATTCCATATCGGACTTTTTGAGAAACGCAGGTAAAAAGGACCGAATGTACAAATATATATATATATTAACATATTTTAAGATATTCCAAAAACACCGTTCCGGGTTGGGTTAATGTAAATACTCAAGAAAATAAGCTGTGCAAATAGACGACAGATTCTTGAAAACAAATAAAAAACCGAATAGTGTTCTAACCAGTTATGTAAGCATTAGGTTTAAAGTCTAGTACAACGTGAGGTTAAAATATTTTGAAGAATAAAATACAAAATTAAAAATATAGATATCTTTTAATTACTGGATGTATAATAAGCATTTGTTATATTTTACTCGTCAAATATTAAACTTAAAACGTTAAAAAAATATAAAAAACTGACAACTACAAGTATCTAATTTATTATTTTATTATTATAGATTTTATCAGGCAATATATATTAAAGTAACTAAAGGAAATTTACTTGGGCATATTTTAAAAAATTTATATTTAACAAAGGATTATAAAATTTAATGAGAAATAGTAAATAAACATTTTACTCAAATATATCTGAAATTATTAAAATATTAACGATAAAATGTTATAATTATGATTATATAATATCATGCATATTTTAAATATGAGTATTTATTATAACTAATAATTTTCAACCAATATAATACACTATGAAGTACTTCTGTTTTGATATAAGTTTAAAATTAAATAAAATTTACTATCAGCATTGATGTGATTGAATTTAGACGTTATTTTATAAATTCTAGATTTATATAGGTATATATTTTATCGATTTTATTTCAAAGAGAAATAATTAAAATATAAAAGTATTTAGTTCATACTGCAAAAAAGGGATTTAATGATATGTAATTCAAATATTCAATAAAACCTTACGTGTATAATTTTTTGAAATGTAATTCAAATAATTGTAGCATCAGGGGAAAACTGGATATCGAGGGCCCCGAGGGGGCCAACTGGACCTATTATTATTACATTATAATTAATAAATATATTTAGTTAATTGTGCTCAACACATCCGAATTTGGATATTCTAATAGTAAATGATTAGCGTTTTACCATTATAATTTAATATTACATTTGTATACGGGTAATTACCACAAATATGTCATTATCAAGGACCCAAGAGGCGATCACCCTTCTTCCTCCCTGGCCAGTTCATTCTTGTGTAGCATATTAAGTAAAATCTTATACTAATATAGTAATATACTATTACAATCGATATAATTAATTACAAAATAGAATGCGAAATTATATATTAAAATTAAATTCTATTCGATAATACGCTCATCAATACTTAATAAATAATAATGCTATGTGATGTATATAATATTTGTGTGATGTATATCATATATATAGAAATCGCATGAGCACAATGTTATGTAGTCATTTAGGGAAAATGTTTTTATGCATATCACAAAATTAGGCAAAATATTATTGTTAAATAAATTGTATATCGAATAATAACAAAGTAATGTGAAACAAATAAAAAAAAATATGAAAAGATAGGTACAGCAAAACATTTTTGAACATTGAGCTTTGAATTAAATCGTTTTACGATTTCTCTCGGAGTTCTGAATGAAACTATATAGTAAATAAGAAACTGTGGTGACAATCGCGTGAGAAAATGATGAGTGAAACGCTCAGAAATCATTAAAATGAAAATCAAAACGTGGCCTACGTAGTCACAAGAATTATAGATAAAGGTTTTTAATTTTTGTCTTTTGATTTTATAATATTTAAGGTTATAACAAGTTTGATTACTGGACGTCTGGAAATCGCTTGGGTACTGACATGCTTATTTGGATGTCTACCGGTCTACCGTTTAACACGACTTTCAATCAGATGAAACGTCCTGGAAGTCCAGAAAACAACGGTCTGGATAATGATGACTTGAAAATGAACGCGAGGCCGGAATTGCCCATAGCAAGGAAAAAGAGGTAAGTTTCGTGGTGTCAGGTTCCGCTCGATGACAATTATAATTATTACTAGGTACTTAATAAATGTAACACTATAACTATAGACTGGCATTAGCGTCCTGGACATATTTTGATAGAATTAGGGATATAACATTGGTATTTGTGCTGTATTATGTAATTATAGATTAATAATATAATATATTATAAACAGAATCACATAAATATTGGACATTTGAAATTTTTACATGCTTATTTCAGTTAAAATAAAAACAAAAATCAAATATTTACAGCTACTTTTTATACATTTTACTGTACGGTTTGTTCATTTTTTTGTACTATTGAAAGTACTTATTTTAGAAAAATGTTTGCAAAAAATTATTCTTCTTTAGAAGAAATAATATAAAATTACTATTTTAAAATTATAACTCAAAGTAAATAATACCACGAGAAACTATATATCATTGCAGAATTTAATTTTACTAACATTACTATTACTATTACTTTATATGTAATTTATTTTCTGGTTTATAAATTAAATCATGAGCATAAATTTCAAGAAAAAAATCATAAAATACTAGACCAGGGAGAGATTTAAAAAATATTGTTCATATCTCCTCTTAAATACATCACTATTGGGCAATGTACATTCATGAAAAGTATTTTAAACGTATTTAAAATTTTTTTAATATTAAGGATTTGAAAAATATTTAAGACTATAAAGTATTAATTGAACATTTTTAAATATTTTTATTGAAATAAATATAATTTTCCGGTTATACTGATAAAGTTTTAATACAATTATGACTGTACCATTAAATCAAAATTTGAAGGTTTTAATTTTTTTACACTTGCTCTTACGAAATGTTTAAACGAAATTCAATGCATCTCTGTTTAAATAGATATTATAAGTAACTTATTTTACAAGACGACCTTCATATGATTTAATTTACAGAGGCGAGAGCGGTTCCAGGGATGGATGCGTTGCGATTAAAGCTCCTAACATGGACTGGGTGACAGCTGACTGTACTGATCTGAAAGATTTCATTTGCGAGCAGACCAGGTGTTACTATTACAATTATGGGTCCATTCCAGTGTCCTCCAGCCAGGGGTAAGCAGGTGAGAATTATTAGACGAGCCAAGGTCAAAATGTATTTCTAATACGTGTGTAAATTCTCAATAAATTTCAAACTTTCCAATATTGTATTCGTACATCGAGTAAAAATGTTTACAGTACATTACTGTATAATACATCTAAACGATGTCAAATGGCAACTGAAGTATAAATTATTGATAAACACAAATACATATATCATTTTCGTGATCAGAAATTTTATAGGATTATTGAATTTCATAGTTTTCATTTGAAAAATTCGAGGATGATCTCAATATCATCTTGTGACATTTTTGTACTAAAAATGAACACCGTGTTAAGATTATATTAATAATTATTCAATAGTTTTAGTTTTTAAATATCCCCACCCCCACAGTGCGATATTATAATATATTATTCTATCATGTGTAGTCACGTGGAGTTATATATGAAATATAATGCTTTCGATTAAAATTTAACAAGAATAAATTAAAGAATAAATTTAAATTTCAAAACGAGAATTCGATTCAAAGGATATTTTTATTTTTTAATGTGAAGCTAGGAGCTGTTACTGTTCACCGCAATTACTCATTTTCGTACAGTGTCCATATATTCATTATAACAATACTGTGTATTATGGAGCTACATTTTGACTCGAAAAAGCCTATTTGTTTACACTGTTCTCGCCAAACACTACAATGTCATATTTTTGATTTTCAGTTTTGGTTACAAACAAAAACTGACGGCAGCTCCACCATCACTTTACTCAACTTTATCTTTGAAGGGAAACGCCACCAATTCTACCACTCCTATTGTAACTACCACCTCTAATTACCTTTCTTCTTCTGTTCTGACCACTACCACTCCAAGCTCTACCTATCCTCCCACCGTCCCAACCAATCCTACCATCACCTCGACCACTACAACTACCACCACGGCAGATAGCTATACGGACGACACTTCTAGGGCTGCGGAGCTCGAACCCGAAATAACTTTGACTACCCAAGGTCCGTGGGAAGACTCGTCGGTAAGCACTACTGAACAGCAGATATTCCAAGAGTCACAAACGTACGGTGAACAACCGATCAACGAACACGCGGATGAACAGTCGACCAACAACGAACGTGTGGACGGTCTGCAGCCACAATACACCACTGAGTTGCCAACACTTATCCAGATGCACAACCAACAGCAACTCGACCAACAGCAGTACGAGCGACTGCAGGAAAATGATCAAGCGCAACAAGAAATGCAACGGCGCAACAACGCGTACGCTTTCGAATCGTTGGAAAAGGCTTTCGCCACTTCAGTACCGCACAAGATCAGAACAACCAAAGACTTGGAACAGTCGAAAGACTCCGCTGCCACCGCTACCGTCGGGGATCAGTTACCGTGGTCGTGGGCCAAAGACATAATGTTACAGAAACCCGTGTTGAAAAAATCGTCGCAAGAAGTCGTTTGATTTGACTATTTCCAGTCCGTGGACATAGCGATTAGATTTTTTCAGAACGTTTATTTTCCCTTCTCTCTTTTTATTTAAAATTAAAAAAATCAAAAAATTATCCATGAACTCAAAACCACGTAAAAGCGTTGCTCTCTCGTGCACTTCTCTCAGTGTCAATTATTTAAAGTGAATAAATCGTACAAGATATTTAATTTTAATATTAATATTGTTAATATTATTATTTATTATTATTATTACTAATATTTATTAATATTAATAAATATTTGTATTTCAATTCAGCATTTTTTTTATATTTATATTATCAATAAATAATTTTTATGTTCTCGACGATTTATTCTATTGAGTTATGGTGGTCTTTGCGTTCTTATACGATTGCTCTATGTATTAGCCTAATATTAGAAAATTAACGAACATAATGAACAAATCAAATCGGTACAATATAAAAGAAAATAATAAGCAGAACGAAAATTAATGTTATTTTTAATCGTTTTACTTTTTATATTCCTTTGTGTCTATCGATTATTATTATTCTATTATTTTGTACATATTAATTTTTAGACCCTCTCATATACTTACTGAAATTGTATTTAAATATTCAATGGTAATCATTTTGAATAAAAATAAACCAAATGATCCAAATTGATTTGTATTTTTTGTACATTTTGAATACTCACCAACCGTTTATGACGCCTTCTACGTTGAGCATAGGCACGATTTTGAACACGTAAGTGTCCCGCGCTTTTTTGGCAGTGATTGTGTCGCCACATAGGTACTCGATTACTCCATCTATCACCCAAGATGCACTGGTCTCACCGGGATGCACTCGGGAAGTCAAATACACTATGGGTCGGTCCTATGTTTACAAGACAAAACCAAACGATTACTGATAAGACCTATGGTTGCTTAACGATGTGAAAATAATTAGGTAGTGCACACGAGGTTTGATGAGTTAACATGTTAGCTTGTTCAAATCGGGACACTGCAATATTGCAGCAAACTACATTTTAATTTTAAATGTTGTGTTGTCTTGTAATAATAGAACGTGGATCGATCGATGTTTATTATCAGTATAGTGATATGCTTTAAAAATATATAATAGTAGCGAACATTTTGTCAAATATCCACCCTTATTACCATAACTCTCTCTCGTGATATTACTTTTAATTAATCAATACCAGAAATGTACACGCTCATATTTCAAATTGATTTATCGTATTAGCGTTGGAAAATCAGTAACCCATCACCAACTCCAAAATGTTCCTGAATAATTTTATGAACATTATTTATAACAAAATAATTCGTATAAATTTTTTCGAATTATAATGACTTCTAAGTCACATGTAAAAAAAATGGGCTACTAATTTTTGTTTCACGTTGATAAAATAATATATTTAATAAAATTGTTCATCAAATTCCTTGATCATACAACGTATGTATTTTTAAAAGAGTAATTTATATCGTTTGTTTATAAAATATTATTATGTAGCTAATCTAATAATGTATTTAAGTTGAATAATAATTAGGAGTATTATGTATTTATCATATATCCATTTATGATTTAATTCTATTATAATATTTTGAATTATTATCTAATCATAAAATTTTGAATAATAATTCGTATTTAAACATTATGGATGGTAACCAAACGCAACATTATAATGACAGATTATAATAATATTAATCACATTAATATATTTTTAAATATGGCGTGCTGACATAATGTAATTATTTTTCAGTTCCAATATTTTAAATGTTTCCTAAGAAAAAATCTAATACAAATAACTAGAATGTACATTATTTTATAAATTAGTTTTAAATTAGTTGTATTCAAGGTTATTTGATAATGACCAACATAGATATATAATTGTAATAAAGAAAAAATATAATCACTTTAATTGTTTTCTCGTTGGATTCAGCAGAGGTAATTGTAATAATTGGCACTTCGTTGTTATTTAATGATCGGCACATACATTTGACACTGAATAAAGTATTAGCTGGATTTACTGAATTTTTCCATTTCAAGCATTTAAACTGAAAAATAACACACGTTATTATTATGGTAGAAATTAGAAATAAAACAGTCTACAGTTTAAAAATTAAACAAGTACAATTTAGTATACCGACTTCTAAATGTGATTTCGTGTATTTTAGTTGCTAGTAAATTGGAAACTAGTAAAAAATCCGATTTTTTATTGTTCAAGATGTTAATAATGATATATTGAAACGAAACCCCATATAATAGACACATTCACTATATTCCAAAAAAATGGATTCAAATTTAACCTTTTTATATGAATAAGATTTAGTAAATAAATGAGTTACACAATTTTGTTAACTAACAATTGAAAGGTTGAGCAAATGTGTTACGGAAATGAGAATGCTTGGATGGATGAGTGGAGTGACAAAAGAATGTAGAATAAGGAACGAATATGTAAGAGGTAGTATTGTTGTAGCGTCGATAGTGGACAAGATAAAAGAAAATTAACTGAGATGGTTTGGGCATTTGATGAGGCGAGAGGAAACAAAAGCAGTAAGAGTGGTTATGAAAATGAACGTCGAAGGGAAAAGAGGAAGAGGAAGACCATAAAAGAGAAGTTTGGATACGATTGAGAATGATATGAGGGCTGTTGGTATGTGCGTAGGGGATATAGAAAATCGAAACGAGTGGAGGTTTAGAATTAGGGTAGCCAACTCTAAATAGTTAGGAGAAAGCCAAAGAAGAAGAAGTATTAAACATTGCAATTTAAACTGAAGTGTTTGTCGAATCAAATGATTTCGTAAATAAAAAGTAATTATTTACTTCACAAAGTGATAAAATGTATTAAAATTATAAGCATAGGGTGTCTATAAGTATAAAATATGGTGTTATATCGAAGTCGATGAACTGTGGTGAACTGGTCTACTGATAGTTATGTAAAGTTTTCTATCCATATAAATTAATGGTACACATTCCGTACGATGTTAATTAATTAATTATAAAAAGTTTTATTCATTTATGAATAAAAAAAAAACAATAGTTTATGAATTGAATTAAATAAATAAAAAAATAAATGTTTACCTTGGATTATTATTAAATTTATAAAATACGAGTGGTTTAGAATAAAAAAATTATTGTTAGGTATGTACAAAGCTAATATTAAGTATTATTTATTACATCAATTATTGATAATAAATTAAAACTATTTAATTATTTGTACAAGAATGACGGCCGAAGCGAAACGTCTGCGGCTTATATCGTTTCGGTTTCTTAAGTTTACGGTTCAATAAATCGTTTTTTATTAATTCGTCAATGCATATTTACCAACAATGTCGAATACGTATACGGATAAACGTATGCAATGTAACATATGTCTCGGTCAACAGGAAATTTAATTGTAAAAGAAGCGGTCATATAAGAGCCATGAGTTTTGTTTCCGTTTTTATAATAGTTCCCGTAGTAACAGATGTCCATTCCGGTGCGACTCCAACCTTTCTTCATTTCGGCGTAGTTTTTCACCGAGAACATGATCGGCTGCATGCCTTTTCTAAACTGAGAATTGTGTTTTTCCATGTTTATTATGTTGAAAACGTATGGCTTGAATGCTTCCATGTTGGATACCTATAAATAAGATGATTAAATCGACCGATTCGATTATGTTTAACAGAGTAGGGTGATTATCAAAACGTCGTTTTTCTCTGAACAACAGTGAATAAATAAATTTTTATTTATTCCACGTTTTCAAATTACACGGAATATGTTTTGAATAGAACTTAATTTTATTTAAGATCAGATTTAAAATCGATAAAAATTACATTTTGGCTGTGGTTATGTATTCATATTATCAACGTTTTTTTTTTTTTTTTGATTAAAGAATACAGTGGTCTAGGTGTATTAAATTTATTTGTTTCATAATACTCTTATTAATAGATCAAAATATTTATAGGATCATAGGCGTAGTAATTATTAACACATTACTTATATTTATTTTGATTATATATCTGTATAAATACATGTAAATTTAAAAATATTAAAACGTGGGGCTATGAAAAATGAACTGTTTTTTTTATCTTAAAAACAAAACATACAAATCGTGAAGTTTTATTGTATTAATCTACATTTTTACCGATGAGTCTTATGGTTTATTAATATTTTCAATCTTCTAAGATAGCAGATCTAAAGAATGCGCATAAAAGTATTGCCTGTAATTTTTCTTTATTTTATTAATATTTGATATCGTTTGCATTTTATATCTATATCACCTCTATATGTAACTATATACTATATACTATATACTCAATAATGTAATATCTGATTAGTATGCAGTGTTATTAAATGCAACCTGCACCACTGGCAGTTCGCTTTATAAATTTAAAAATAAAAGTTGTTCTCTCTCTTTCTACGCATTTTCTTTATTAAAAAGTTTCCTACACTTTTGATTAAAAAATATAAAATATTTTATCGTTATAAATGCGATTACAACATTTTATATTTTTTATATAATTGATCAATCCTAATAAATATTCTAATGATTGATATAGGAAAAGATAAATCATACATTTAATCGAAAAATTCTCACATTTACATATAGTATTCACCAAACGTAAATCTCACGCTTAACCGTAGACCAAGACTCATTTTAAAAAAAAGTACAGAAAATAATATACTGATTACTATTATGTTCTACAATTATAATATTATAGTGTTAACCGAACTTAAAACATTACTTGAAAATAAAACCACTCGCTATGTGACATGGAATTAACGTCAGAATTCAAAATCAAATCATACTCTTCGGGACCAATCTGTAATGTACATGATAACTTGTTATTAAATTATCAGATTATAAATGCTAAACAATACTATAAAAAAAATAAACAAAGATTACCTTAATAGCTTTCCGAAGATTACCACTTTCAAAACGAGACTCAAAGTGCAAGTGATCAAACCCCAATTTTACTCCTAAATTGCTTTCATCGTCGTTTGATAGCCTAATAAAAATTGTTTACTAAATAAAAACTTTTAAGATAAATACAATTTTCAATATGTTTATTACTGGGTAGGATTGTAAGTGTTGCTAAACTTTTCCGATAAATAATCTAAATCGTAGACAACCAAATCACCAAATTCTCTTATTTTGGCAACGCTTCGCTCTAAGCACATTAACAGTTTGATTCTAATAAAATAACGATTTTAAGAATTAATTAATAACCATAAGATAAAATTATTCTTAAATAAGGGAAGAACTTTCAAATATGTACAATATATTCGTATATAAATATATACGAGTACAATGACTTCAGTTATTTTCGCAAATGAAAATTTCAATAATTTGTCCTTTGGTAAACACATATTCAATAATATTTTCACTTCATACGGATTACTAACATAACAAGTTTGTTTATTCAAAAAAAAAAAAATTTAAACGAATATATTGTAAATTGTAATATTAATTCATCGCTATAAATTAAAATATATTATATCTTTGTCTTTTAAAATTATACCTTATTTCCTGTTTTTATTTATATTTTTCTGGAAATTTTAAAATAAATTATAATTCGTTTACTTTATAGTATATGATTAAAAATTAAAATTTATTATTTGTAATTGCATAAATGCAATTATTGGAATAACAGAAAATGCACTGTAATTAATTCTTTTGTTTAAATCGCGAAAAAATTGACCTTCGAAAAAAAGTTGCATTAAATACCATATTTCATAATTTATTCAATCGAGCAAGTGCAATATGAAAATGTAGCGTTTTTGAACTGTAATTTTTTAGGCTCGTTTCACACATGACGATTTCGTCTGTACAGATTTTAATTGGCAATAAATACATGCAAGTAATTGTGGCTTTCATACGGGACGGAGGAAGAATTTTTTCCCTACGGTTTCCGTGATACAACAGTGTCAAAGACTGTAAAGTACGGCGCCGTGCCATCGCTGTCTTATCAATCATCTACGTGAATTAGAGTAAGTTTTCATAAAATACAATTTTTATTTGTCTGCCGTCCATTGTGGCTTTTTGTAAAAAAAAATATGGATATTGAGTCAATAACCATTCCTATTGACATAGAAAAGTTTATCTCTGCTGTGAAATGCAGACCTATCTTATGGGATAAGTCGCATGATTTTTACAAAATGAGAAATATAACTAAAAATACCTAGGAAGAAGTGTGTATGGATTCGGTGTACTCAGTAAATACGATTGTTACGTCGTTTTCCAAGTAATCGCAAGCGACGATTCAAAAGCCATATAGCAATGGTGCGTTTTCGATTCATGTTGTAAGCCAAATGAGTTAAAAATTTAAAAGTAAATTTTAACCAAAAATAGAGGACTCAAGGGAAAAATCGTCATGCATGAAACCAACTTCCGCCCGGAAGAAATTCTTAAGGATGTCAACCGTACGGAAAAAACCGTTGTCAATATTTAAAAACATTTATCAATTGATCTACAATAAAATTTACCTTGAAACTTGAACGTTTTTGTTATATAACGATTCCAATGACTGATCATCATTCTCTGCTCCTACCCAATCAGGATAAGCAATTTTAACGAAAGGACAGACGCTGTTAACACGTCTCGCAATACTCGAGTACGACGCCTTATATGTTTGGCACTTACGCACGTTGGAAAGCAATCTAATATCAATTTTCTAAGGATTCAAAAAATCGATTATTACCATGAATATAATGTTTGTATTATCGAAAATAAATGGAAGTTTTAGAAGTTAATTATATAAATAATATTACCTTCTGATAAAATATAAAAGATGAAAACCAAAAAATATGAAAAATTATTATAAAAGAAACATCAGATTTATGGTAATTCTTCATTACAATTATAAAGATTTATTTGGTTTAAGATAAAAAAAACAATTTACAAGAATAATCATCTATTTTAAAAGTAATTTTAAGTTTTGATTGATGTTTATAAAAGAAACATTATATTATTATATATATTATATAATATATTATATTATATTATTATACATTTTTGTATAAAAAAGGATACTAGATAAAACTTTATTAACAATACATTTTTTTTTTTAGAAAGATGTTATTAGTGAAATTTTATGATGGTATTATAAGTACAATATTTTATTTATTTATTGTAACTGTAATGACATTTAACTTACGTCTATATTCGGAATGTCAGCTGCGTTAACTTTTGAGCTGAAAAAAAAACAACATTTTACTAAATTAATTGTTTCTGTTTATTGTATTGAAATGCGAAAAATGTTTTAAGAATTTTTTGATGCTTGATTAAAAATATTTTTTTAGTGAAATATATCTCATGGGTAATTTATTCTATTTAACTTATACTATGGGTTAACTTTGTTTACAAAAATAATAAGATAAACTACTATAATTAAAAAAAAAAATCATTTTTTAAAATTATATTTTAGTGCACTTACTTAAAGTATTTACTTGATTTGAACTTATTGAACGAATTTATCATTGATCCAATGGATTCTGCACTTCTTCCCGCTCCGAGTTTTTTTACTACATTACATTTTGGCATTTCGTTATTGAATTCTTCAAATAAACGTCCATACCTTTAAAATTCATTATAGTTATCAAACAAATAACCAAGGGTTATATGAAAATAAAAATAAAATAGACAAATAGTACTAAGAACCTTGATAAATACGATTAAAATACAACAGAAAATATTTGATAAAACGGCGCACTGTGTATGCAATATAGGTACACAAACTTGTGAATAAAAATATCCATTATTAACACCTTAATAATACTATTTTGAGTGATGAAATATGAAGTTATAAGACGTTAAGATCTGAGTACTTACATCGATACGATTTCATCTCGATCTTTCCAGTAGTTAAATGGTATGTCTAATCTTACGGATTTGGATTTCGGAATAGCTGTATTACTGATCGGGGGCTCCATGAAATTCTGAACGACTGGTTCTTCGTTGTCATCCGCTTCACTATCGTCGCTATCAGAATCAGCATACTTCTCTAAATGTTATTTTTCAAAGAGCCCGTAAAGTTATCCGAATAAAATAAACTTTTCTGGACGATTAAAATCTTATTATACAATATCATGCGTGCAATCATATTTAAGATATCGTTTTATGATTAAAATTAATTTCAATCCATAGAAAATTTAGCGAGTAAGAAAATTCTAAACATATAATTTTAATTAATTTTGAATAATAAAATAAAATGTTGAACATTTTTCGAAGTGCTATATTGTTCGAAGTGTTTTTTTTATTTTTTTACTTTATAATTAAAGTAAAGAAAAATAGCCATTACAATAAACAAAGCCACTTTTTGTCAACCGTTTTAACAGAGTACATAGTTCTGAAAATCACTGTCGCACATTTTGCTTATATTATTTCCAAACCGTAATGTAATGATAAAAAAAAACACTTTTAAAATATTATCGATTGAATATATATATAAATAAAATTTTATCCATACAACGCATGAAATTATTTTCAAATTAATTTTTCATATCGTTTGTAATGGTAATATGTACTCGTATAGTATGTTGTTGTATATAAAAACAATTCGACACAATTGTTTTCTAATCGTTTCTATGTCTATGTTATGTAACTTACCACTATCGTCGACTTTTGCTTCTCCCAAATCAAATATATTTGATGACTTCGGTGAATTTAATGGCAACAGCGATTTTTCTTGACAAACATTAATTACTGTAAATAATTTTGACAAGGTAGAGTTGTACATTCGATCATCTGGGCAGTGGAGGCTAAATTTGTACAACACGTTAAATTTGTTTGATTTCTTCAATGCCGTTCTTCCATTATCTGTGTACACCAATTAAAGCATTGATATATTCCTATATTCAAGTATGGCAGAGGCGCGCCGAAGGGTTGTTTTAAGAGACCAAAAACTAGATCATCTCTAAAACTGTCTGGCATATCGATTTCTTGTTTAAAATAATATAGATAACTAATATAAATTATAAACATTATATTAACAGTAAAAACATTCTGAATATTGATTCGATTCTTATGAAATTTAACTGTAAAACTAAAAATTGTTAATGATAGACAATTTTTGTTTGTTTTAGATTATGATTATTTAGTACTTAGGAGTAAAGGCACTCATTGACTAAGCTTTTCGGCACGCCTCTTTTGTCATAATATTTTGTAGTCATGACGGTTCGTACACTAGTAAAACTATACAATCGAAATGTGTTAAACGTACTAGTGTTTGAGATGTGCACCAGTGTATCCAATGCGGATGACAGAACTTTAGGATTAGTGTTACTCACAGAGTAAAGTCTTATATCAAACACGTCTAATGCATATTGCATAAATCCACTGCGAATAATTCTATCGCAATTTTCTTCGGTAACTAAACACGTTATTAATATACGTCATTATATTATATTATTAGAATTTTGAATTTAAAATACGGAAAACTCAAAATATCAATACTTTTCTTGGTCACATTAGCTAACAATGTAAGAAATAGCCATTGTTTATTTTTTTTGAAATATTTGTTGTTCTCTCTAAGAAGCTTTTCCAGAGTCAACAAAAAACCATCCTTGAGAAGAACACCAACAATTGTCTCTACACAAATATACCATGAATTAATTATTGTAATGATATTGACAATGGTAACGAGTCATTTATAGAAAAATCCAACAAACCGTTTTTAGTAAGTGTTTTAAAGCACAACAATAATGATCCGATGATTTTAATATTTTTTATATTGTTTCTTAATTGTTGATGGAACGTCTTTGTTGCGTTCAACGCTTCAGCATGCTTTGAAAATTTGCTATCTTAAAACAAATTAAATTTTTTATATTCAAAATGTATACTTATACATACATATATGTGCGTCACATTTATTTAGTGAAATCGATTCTTTAATATTTTTTTAATCTTAAAAAGTATTTGAAGATATGAAACAAAACCATATAGAAAAGGCTTAATTTTTATTTTGTGTAAATTGCAAAAAATATTAAAAATACTTAGAAGAATAAAAATAAAAAGTTGAAAAATTATTATTTGCCAACAAATTAGCTCTATTCAATGGCTATTTTAAAAACAATTTTAATGTTATCTTTTTTTAATGGTTTACCAATATACAAACATTTAATTAAAATATCAGTATTTATATTCCTTGTCTTTATGAAAAAATTATATAAATAAAGCAAAATTTGATTATCTTCTATATTTCAGGAAAAATCACTATGGATTCATGTGACACTCTGTATTTGCATTATTAATACTCTTATATCAATTACCTTTTTGCGAGAGTTGAGCGAGTATAAAAAGTAATTCACTGATAAGAATATCAGGTGAACCCACTGATTTCGATTGCAATTCCATTACCAACTTCATAAATGTCTTCGTTGCTTCTAATTTTACCAATAGCTTCAGTACGGACATTCTCACCTGGCCTACATACATTTAAGATATTTGGACTATAATTGTTTTAGTATACAACCACTAACTCTATCACGTGAATAATTATTCTTAAAATTCTTTTTACCGGATTTTGGTGCAATGCAAGCATGGATTACGGCTGCCAAATTCGTGCAGGTAGATTTATCTCTAGTCTTCTGCAATATTAAATAAAGTAGTAAATTCAATTACACCAGTGTTGAACAATAACTCAAGAGTTTCAAAATTATTTCACTATTCATAACATGGATTCGTAAGTTCATGCACTAAAAAACTCATAAATGAGCATGCAATAATGCACTAATATTTGATAAATTATGCGTTCAAATATGCACTAAAAAATTCAAAATATTCATTAAAAATCTTAAAGTATAAGTATAAGCATTGTTTTTAAATAATAAAAATATTATCTATTTCAAAGTTATATTTTATTACATTTTGTTAAAATTATAATTAATGAATACTCATTTCAATGAGAATAAATTGATAGATTTTAATGCACACTTCAATATGAAGAGAGTGGTAGCGGTGTGCCATAAAATTGTTTTCGTGGTACTACTTTTAACTTATAAAACCCAATGTCATACGAAAATAAAAATACTGATAAAATACTAAAATTTTGTTAACATGTTTGGAAAAGTAAATAAGATTGAATTCGAATATTTATTGATCTAATTTTTTTTAACTTACACGAAAAACGATTTTGCTGAATTTACATAAAATAATATGTACTAATGAATTCAAAAAATCAACTATACCTATGCCAAATATACCAATACACACAAAATATGCAAAAACATACTTTAACTAAACTTTATATTTCTATTACTATTTTCATGAAACGGTTTTGTATCTCACTTATCATGATTTTCGATGTAGCAAAAAAACATGCATAAACTTACGAATCCTGTTTATAACTAAACCAATTTTGTCGCTACGCCACTATGGGCTCAGGTGAAAATAATTTTAGGTCATCCCCAGAGAACGATAAATCATAAAGAATAATTGTTTTAAACATAAAATTAGGGGTAACATTTACTTGTTTAATTAAAAACAATTTATAAGCCATAAAAATATGAGGGCATATTAGATAACAGTTAAAAAAAAAAATCTTTAACTTTTGAAATTTTCGAATTTTACTTTCGAATCATCTTCTGTCTGCATACTTTAGTTCAAAAAATTCCTTTATAATTTCATCAAAATCTATCTTGTTTATTGTTTTTTTTTTGTTGATAGACAATGATTTAAAAAACATATAAGTATTTCACACATATATTAACATATAAAACCATAATTTATAAATCATTACAGTATGGAATACCAGTATCATTTTTATATTTTTTATTACATTTATAGGTGCCTCCAAACTAAAAAAAAACCCGAAGCCTTTTCGAAGGACCCTCATGAGTGTGAGACTCGTAGATCCTTTGGCCCTTCCTAGTTATGCTATTGAATATACCTTATGTTGGAAATAAAAAATTTCAAAAATTACTTCTTTGTTGTACAGTTTACTTCGTACTCGCCTTATCTTGTAGACAGAATTGGGCGTTATTCGAATAAAATTTTATTTAGATGATTATTTAGATAACATTTTATTCAAAAAAATTATTATTCGACTAATTTTCAAACAGATAATTTTTATAGCTACATGCCCATATCTATTTTTGTGTAGAGCTCTATATATTTGAACTTATAAATATGAAATACAACATTGAACATACGTAGTTAGTACATGGTACCAAAATATCCGAGATTATATAATATAATACGAAAACTGGACTAAACTAGATATAATAATAACATCTTCTATATTGATAATTAATTACTATTAAGGTACATACTAAATACTTGTAGACAAACTAGAAGAATTATAATCATTATTTCATAATACATATTTAGTAATTAGTATTAACTACTACTATATATACTAGGATAGGATAACTATGTTTAAAAATTATTCAAATAATATTATGATCACAAAAATGAAATTAAAAACAATAACGATAATAAACCACAAAAAACCACGGCACATTACCGATCTATTTAAAATTGTAAATTAGAAGAGAAAATTATAAATTTAAGAACTTAAATAATTAATAACTGAATTTGATAACATTAAATTTGTAATTATTGTTTGAAAATTGTCAAACCATATGCATAACTTGACATTTGTCCAAGCAGTATAACTCAGATTCAAGTTTTTTAACGTACTGGATCAAAGCCAAGGATTGCCGGTCAAAAAAACCCACTGGACTCTTACGGTGATTATTATTTATTCTTGTTCTTAAGCAACAAAAAAATTAAAAAATATTTATATACATATATATAAATACATGTATTAGCTGTGTTGACTGGGTCGTTAAAAATTACATAAAACAGTATCCCCGATGTAAGATAGATTAAACGTTGCTCAAGGTGGACCAGTTCGGTGGTATATAATTAATCGTAACGTTTTCTTGTTACTATTTTAATTATAATTGATTTGGCTAATCTATTTTTAACAATAATAACTGGAGAAATTAATAAATCAAATGAATTGTTTTTTTGGTTATCTGATGAAGAAATAATAAGCATGTATGTACATAATCCACCATAGGTATATTTTACATAAACAATATTTTTGTCGTTTGAAGTGACGCAAATGTAAACTACAAATGTAGAATTATATTACGAGATGCCAAAAACACAGTCACCCTGTAACGTTTCTCTTGAAATTCATTAAAAATAGAAATTAATAATCTACATAGATAGAATCTCTTGATTTTGTTGCTCAGTTCTGTCGCAAGTAAAAAAATAAAATAACCTTTCGTTTTTCGTTACTCGAGCACATACATGGGGTCACGGGTCGTTATGTTTCAAAAATGATTGGTCGATAGTATTGTTATATTGTATTCGTGTGAATTGTGAAATATAATTTTGTTGCCGTTGAAAAAAAATACTGCTATATTGAATATTGTTTTTTAGTAAATAATTTCATTGAAATATTCAATAATATCACTGATAAGGAACTTTGAGATGTTACGAATAACAATTACAATACTATCCCATCTGCTAATTTAGACGATTTAAAAATCAAGGCACAGCAAAATATATCTTTAGTTTTCAAAATGAAAATTTTTACTGTAATTATAAATAATACTATTATAAGATCTTATGTTTTGACATCACATCGCAGAAATGATGTAAAATAGGTTTTTAAAACTATAACGCAATTTAATGCATAATAAACATAATAAGCGTTTTTTATGATTTAATCTCATAAATCTAAATAAGATAATTAACTATGTGAATCATTGAGAACCAAAAGCCAATCAATATTATTCAAAATATGAATATTTTTCCCATATTATTTTTGTTTAATAACTATAGAATTTGAGAAAAATAAGTGGAATAATTTTGTAAATAATAATGTTTATTTAATAAAAAAAAAAAACATTTTACTTTGATACTTTACATCTCCAATATAATATTTAACTATCTTATCAAACTTTTTTACGAATAATGTTTTTATTGAATATTAATATTTTTATTTTATAGATGATATATTTCATATAGTTATAAGCATAAAACAAACATTTTTTAAAAAGTTTCAAACTGAATACATATTTTTTCGATTTTTAAAAGTTAGTGATAAAAATACTCAATACACTACTTAAAGAATTTTGTAATTCATTATACTCGTAATGCATTTACTATTAATAATCTATGTACGTATAAACTGACATGTTTTGGTTTAGATTAAGTAGAAACTGTTTGTCATGAAATAAACTTTATTTCTATTTATTTTTTAAAAATATTTAATAAAATTATATTCTTGTGTAGAATGATGAGGTAATATTTTTTAGACGAATGAACAAATTAATATAAAAATTCTGTTTATTTAAAATAAACATACTAAAATAGAACAGTGTCATAAATAGATCAATTGAATAATAATCGATCATCAATTATAATCAAAAGATTAAAGTTCTGTTTTACTGTTCATAAAGAATTATATACATTATATACATACATTTAAATGTAAATTTAATTTTCTAATGTATTTAAATTTTGGTAATTTGAAAATTATTTCAAGTAAAAATGTTTCGATTATATTATATACTTAATCCTAATTTAGACACCATCATTGTGTGATTCGTGCACTTAAAACAATAGTCAGATGTAACAGGTTTTATTAACTTTTATGTGTATTGTTTCTTTGTTTGTTTGTTATGTGCTAATTAACCTTTACACGCAAATATTATGTGTCACCGCGTGCAATCCAACATGTCGTGATGACGTTCCATTATGGAAATTATTTATTCCGAAAACCAATGTAATTTCGTTCATTAAAACTTCGAAACTTTTTCTCCACTTTATAACCGAACACCATCTGAAGGCCCATTGGGCACTGAAGTTAAAATCGATACCTATGCTTTATAAACGCACATCAATTTAAATATTAGTTATGAGCAATTAAAAATATAACTAAAAACCGAACATAAACCAGATATAAATTAAGATTATCTGTTTCAATATTATTTAATGATTTATGCTTTTTCATCGGACGTTTTTGAAAATGGTATTTATAATAATTAGGTACGGCAGATTTTTTCTTATTGCATAAGCTTTAATAATTTTTTTTACCTTGACAAAATCATCAATTCGTATTTTACCCACCATCTTTTCATTGACAATTGGTATGTAGTTAATGAGTTTTTTAAAACAATAATAATTACGAAACAAATTCAAATTATCATATCTACGTTTATATTTAAAGTAATCGCTAAATCACACGAAAACACTGGATTTGAGTTTATAACAATTATATAAAATCCAAAAACCGTATTTCCGACATATATTTTATGAGATTAACAATATACTATGACTAAAACAGCTGTAAGAAATTGTTGTTTCAAGCATAATATTCTTTGTAATATTAATAATAATAATAGTCATAATGATTCTTTTTATATTTAATAACGCGTGTCTGAAGCCATTATTATAGCCAGAATGCGTTAAACATTTATTATGTAAAACTTAATTTTTTCAATAAGATCATCTCATAAGTAATAAATAATAAAAATAAGAAAATAGTAAAAAAAAATGATCTACGAGTTGCGACACACATGTTCGAACAACGTCTTTGTAAAATATATATATAGTTAATATTACGATGATAAACGACTATATAGGAATCGTTTAGTTTGTTGTGATTATTTTATGTTTATCAACAATAATAGAACAACACCCTTAACCTTACGTGCCGAAAATAACGTGGTCTGTGCTAAATTAAACGGCGATTAATTGCTATGCAACTGCTTATGAACACATGCATATATCATATATGACCAAGACTTGTGCCAGCCAATACAGTTTTTTCCCTGCACGCTAAATAGTACGACCATCAAAAAGCCAAAACGCTATCAAAATAGAATGAATATATTTTTTGTCAATTTTATTTTACTATGGTTGTTTTATTTTTATTTTTATTTTTCACTCATCAGCCCAAACAGTAACGAATACTGCATTACGTGAAATCCACACGATTTTTGTTATTTCGTAAATCCGTGTTAATTTTTATTTTTTAATTTTATCGCCATCATACAGTGTACGAAAAACATTTAAAATTTTGGCCAAGGTTGTTCCGTTTTGGCGGATTCGGTCGGGTTTCCTATACATGCGTTATGACGGCTGTTCCGCGTAATGTGTAATCATAATGGATACGATGTTTAATTTTAATGATACTTTCTTCCACCCTCTCTCACGCATTTGAGCACTAAAAATACTTATTTTTTATATTTTAATTTTATCATCCTGTTTTCCTCCCCCTCCTCGAGCTATTGCAAAATAATTGCATGTGAAGATAATTGTCATCAAAAGCCTCGGGCCATCACTGTAAAATGACGTCCGGCGTATGGTTCCGAGCCAATAGCCACCATTTAATTAGCGTATCAAAAACACTATATCTGGTCCATATGCGCTACTAAACTGCGGTAAACACAAGAAAAACGGTAGTTTATCGTTAGCCTTGGGTTGACGTGTCATTCACGTAAAATTGTCAATCACTATATGTGTATGAATTTTTTCATTTCAGCAAAGGAGTAAATTTTATAGGGTTTGTGAGATCAATTAAACCGAAAATATAGCCGTGTCGAGTATAGAGGGAAACACAAAGGATAAATGCCCGGAAAACACAGAGAAAAAATTATTGTTTCAAAACAACGCTGATTAACCATAGTATTATTCCAATCCAAATATAAATTCCTATGATGATCTTATATAGTAAACATTTATGATATAGGTACTCAATTATTTCGTAGTTTATTTATATTAAGGTAAAAATAATTTAAAAATGTATAACATTGGACCAATGTTAGTAGTAGTAAATAGTTGTAGTTATCTTTGTATACATTTATGAAATGCATTCAGTTGACAAGTAGATGAACGGAAAGCAGTTTTCAAAGTTAAACTTAAACGATTTACTGACGATTTCCAATATACATAATAAACTGATTTGTTAATAAATAACGTATCAAGTAATAATATTTCACTTAAATAAAGTTTAAATGTATAGAAAAATATTTCGTTAAATATTCAAGATCCACATACCCCGATCAGATTTATTCAATATCGTATACAATGTTATGAGGTGATAAAAGTTTGATTCGAGACGTCAATGTTTAAAATGATCAAGAATTTACTATAATTTTAGCGTCCATAAATATAATACAATAAATGTAACGCAGTTAGATTGTATTTGGCATAAAGTCTGAAAGTCTTTAATATTCTATTGTAAGAGTTACGTATCAATTGGTAGTTATTCAATTTTTTGAGAACCAAACACATGACATGTTATATTTTCTAGTCTTGTAATATTACGGAATGAAAGGCACAAAACTTAATCGATGTATCTTATTTTATAATACTAGAGATTATTTAAGTATATTTTATCATCATCATAATTTTTACTACATGTATGTTTATTGATGTGTGTTAAAATATTAGAACAAATATACAGTGAAATTTGGTACGATTCCAAGTTCAAGTACATTTTATCAACTGGATTGTTAATGTGTGATTCAATATTTCTTATTCTGTCCTATGGATAAATGTAATAAAGTTTGAATACAATGGCATTACATTTTCAGAAATGTTTTAGTGGTTAAATTGTTACAAATATATTGTATTTTTCTAATAAGACAATAACTAAATAAACGCGATATACTTTTTATTTAAATTATGTAATTATATAGTAAAAATAGTTTCTTTTATTTTATTTTTTTTGTTCGAGGTTTTTGACAAGACTCTATACAAGTATAGTTCAGTTGAAATTGTTTCGTTCTGAATATAAAACATTCAATATTTTATTATTGTTTCCTATCATAATAACATTCCTGGTACTTTTCTCAGGTAATATGATAAATAAAATTAAAATAATTTGAACTAATTTTTTTTAACGCCATAACTTTTTTTAAAAAAAAATACACATCCATATCAAAAGCTTCTAAAGCTTAAGAACATTATTGAAATATATTTAACAGTATTAAAAAAATTCGTGAGAAATATAAAACTTGTAATTAATAAAAGATATAGGCACAAATATACAAATAAAACAAATTAAGGTAAATTAATAATGTATAATTTAAATTATGTCTTAATTATATTACGTATTTATTAAACTTGTATAAATTAAACTAATGTAAATTAATAACAAATATGATAAATTGTTTTACTATAATTATTGTGTAAATGGTGCTATATTAGAAAACAGTTTAGTCGATTGAATATGATTAAATTTACAATATGATAAAAGATATAATATATAATTAAAGACAAATATAATTAACAAAATAATTTTTTAATTAAATATAAAGAAAATGACAGTTCTACATTGGTAATCCGCATTATTCTATTATATATTATATATCAATATTCTAATAAATATTGTAGATATTTATCATTTTCCCTGAGTTTGAATGAAATATTTGGGTGCATAGTACTCTAATTTGAAAAATGTTCAATTGATTGATTATAAAATAGTATTATAATGCTAGTATTATACTAAGAGAAATTCAAGTAAGAAATAATTATCAATTTTAATCACTTAAAGATAATTTATAAAAACACTGGGACATTTAAATTTTAAATTGAGAGCAACTAATACAACTATATATCAAGACATCAAAAATAAAAAACAAAAATAATAAGCTTTTTTGAAGAAAAAAATTATAGGAACATAACAGTTTTATTATTAACTACATATATTCTATAATATTTTGTTAAAATTTTAAATAAAATAATAGGAAAAATAATATAGAAAATAAATAAATCATTAAATATACGATCAATTATCTTAAAAGTTATAATTAACAAAAATAGTTCTATGGATTCCTAATGAAAACATAATAATATCTACGATTTATTCAAAAATAGATAACTTGTAGATAAATATGATTTTTCAATAATTTGTCTTCGTTACGTTAAATTGTGTTTCTATTATACATAAGCTGTCGTTGCTATAAACGTATAACCTTTTTCAAAAACAAAAAGTATTTGATAGTGAGTTATCTAAAAATAAAACGTTTAATTGGACATTTATTATCATTATAGTGACACTTGAAATACAAAACGTATTATACTGCTTGTTAAAAACGATCCGGAAGAGTAATTTCAATGAAACAGTTTTTGCGATATAATGACTAAATAAGTTAATGGTAAATTTAAAACATTTTAGCAATTTTAAATTTTAAATATTTTTAGCAAGAATTGTTTTTTTTTCTTTAAACAATATTTTTATTTTATGTCTATACCAATCTTATGTACTGGATGTAATTCAGTTGCACGCAGAACATATTTGTTTTGTCATTATGACTCTTTGAATAAACTACAGTTTAAATTTTGTTAGTATATTTTAATTTACTTAAAACTAATTAGATACTTAATTTCCTACACAAAGAAATGTTTATGCCAAACATTAAAGACCCGGCATTAATACTAAAATACTATTTCTATTATATAATTTTCAAGGAACAACAATAATTAGTATTTCGACTAATATGATTTTTCATACTGCTTCATAAGCAAACAGCTATAATAAATATAAATATATTTTATCATTTTTAAAATGTAAAAAACTATAAATGGCAATATATAAAATATCTATATGGTAATACCGTAGGAACTACTCTTGTATTAAATTATTTTTGTAAAGAAAAACAAATATCGTATTAATTTAAAGAATAAGTTGTTGGAAACACTAAAAAAAAAAAAAACCTTCAAAAAATTGTGAAATTTAAGACGGGCTCGTTTTAACAAAATCGTTATATACAGCAATAAGCAGAACAATATAAAAACTTAAAATATTTATCAAAAAAACTTGATAATAGGTAATATAATTTAAAAAAATTGACAATTTCTTTGTTATATTGGTATATATGATTAAAATTATTTATACTTGCTTTAATTAGGTACAGGTATATTATATGTACATTTTAAAGGCATCTAGATCTTGAACTTTAACACAAATTCATTTACATTTTTTTTTCCGATTTCTTTCAAAAAAAGTTTACAGTGAAGTTATTCTTAAATTTAAGCCAATTTATAATTATATACATACTTGAAAGATCTTATTTAATAACGTTCGTGATATTAGTTATCAAGACACTGAAAATAATGAAATATATTTAATTTTTTTTCTATTAATTAAAATCAAAATACCTGGAATTTCTATACACTCGAAATTAACCGAGAATTTATTATCCTTAAGCAATATAGATCACTAGTAGTATTCAATTTCAAATAATATTACCCCCAAGTTATTCTAAAATAAAATATGAGAAGCATTATAGAGTGCCCAACACCTGATGGTCTTTATTAAGTCCACCTTTATTCTTTATAGTTATTTCTTAGATGCGTTTTATACTTACTTCAAATAATTTCATAATGTCCACTATTCTTTCTGCTTTTGTCTTTCTGAGCATATTCAGTGACTTGGCTTTGACATTTTTATCTAAAAATGTATAAGACATAATTATTTTAGTTGTTACTCATTAATCGTAATCATACTTATAGCCTAAATAAACAATCATTGTTGTGAATTTTAATTCAATGAATAAAAAAATGTAATCACATAGTCGAATAGAATTATAAATTTCAAGCTATAATAAACCTTAAAGGTCACTCACAAAGTTTTTATATCATTAAAATTATTTTTGTCGAATATTATTTTATACTATGATAAAATTAACTTTATTTATTATTGATAACATATCAATCGCACTATATACAATAATTAGTTCTATGTATTTGAGATGTGTACCACAGGAACCTCATGTTTTTAACTCCAACTTTTTCATCATCGATTGTTTGATATAATATGAGTTATAAATCAAATTAAGATCATCTATTATTTTCTACATTTTTAAAATTTATTTTTTAAATCAATTAGTTTTCCTTCAAATTCAGCTAATAATTGAAAGTAGTTTTCACTCCTAATTTTTTTTCCTATTTTCACTACACCCTAAACTGCTGCTATAGTAACCATATTGAATACACACGGTAAATAGTAAACGATATTAATAATTTGTGATATGATGGATTTATTCATGGTTTTACTGGTCGGGATATTATTAATAATGAGCAATAATACGAGTACAAGGTTATTATTGTCACAATAGTAATATTTATTAAAAAAATTATAATGTTGCGATTTAAGATCAAAATAAGTAGTAAACAATGGGTTTCTGTTCATCAATAAATGTGTAATAGTTATTAATCATATTTTACAATAATAATAAATTTATGTGCCTACTTATGTAACTACCCAAATATAAAATGTGTACATACGCGTATTTTTTCTTTTAAAACGAATTATTCTTCGGCAAATGATTGAAACATTTATATACGAATAAATTTAAAAAAAAAACAATTTTTATTTTAATAATGTTATCACAAATTTTTAGTGTTTTAAAAATTTAAATTAATTAAAAAATTATTTTTATAATAAAACCGAAGAAACATAAGAAATTAAATATTTTACCAACACAAATTATTTAGTTACAGTTATCATGAAAAAAAATAAATAAATATTTTTTCAAATTATTATAAAATATGTACTCTTATTGATTTGTTATTGTCAATTAATGTAAATCTATTTCTAATGATTATTTTTTTTTATTAAATATTATGTTTTTGAGTAATAACGAATTAAATGGGTTTCAAAGCGTATTAGTATTTATATCAATATGGTACAATCTTAGCAATACACAATCACTAATATTATGTACGTATTACCTATGGCTGGATATAAATTTTGAGCGACTTCGGGGCATTAGAAATAAGCCACTTATAGGTGATTATTTGATCAAAATTTGTTGAAGTTTTGATTGAGAAAAAATTAATCTATAAGGTATTTTTTCAGAATCTACTCTTGTATAGAATACGGAAAAACATTTGTACAAAAAATTCGACACCTTGTAAATTGGTTGGTTTATTTAGCACCTGCCTCCTCCATACCTCTATAGTTTTCGAGGTATTTTAATTAAAAAATATATATATATTTATTAATGTACTATACATATATTACAAATTATAAGTGTAATAAAGAAAAAAAAAGATGTTATATAAAAGAAAATGCCGACTTTGAAAAAAAAATCGAAATTTAGAAATCTGTCCGTTGGTAAACTGTCGTACATTGATAACAACAAAATTCACTGGTGTACCTCGGACGAGAACGGTATAATCAAATTAGGTACTTACCGGTATTATTCACGCGTCCGTTGATCTTGTGCGCTATCCTGCGGATCTTTTCGAGATTCTCAGCGGTGCGGGTCGTCAGTGGCACCAACCGGTCCAGCAACACGTCCAGCACATGATCGTCGCCGCCGGCCACCACCATTTTATTGACTTTCGGTGTCTTCGGGACGAGAAAGAGTTAAACGGTTCTTATCAATCGAAAACAATTGTAAAACGGCGCGGTGATGGTGATGAGACGTAGTGCTAACGGTGCGCTGTCAACACGCACGTGCCGAGTGGAATTCTCGCGGAAGGCGAGAGCGAAAACTGGAATACATCGATGATGTCGGCAGGACGGAAAGCGAACGGAAACGGAAGGGCGGAAGAATCACCGGTGTGCCGGGGAACGGATCGTGAAGGGACGACGAAACGGATTGTATTATTTTCCGGCAGCGGTGTCGCGCGATGTGACGACGGTGACGGAACGGACCAAACGGGATACAACTGTGGTTAGGACGGGAAAATCGTGAATGACACGGGCGGCGACCGCGGCTGCACGGGGTTTGGCAAACGGAGCGACCAATTCGGCCCGACTGCCAAAATAACGAGGCGGCGCTCGTGTGTATAACGTGCCCTTCCGCAGGGTCCGATTGTCGCCGGTGGCAGTGCCCGACAATGATAACAAAGCATTTTAATGTTATTGTTGTTTTTAAAATCATAATCAATGTTAATAATAATATCGTATCTATTATTATTATTATCAAAATTGTTGTTATTAATATTTAGATTATTTTTACGATAGCGCTGTACCGGTGTTACTTCGCACAACCTTCCTCGTCACAACCGTTACTAGGGAGTTTTCAGACCCACCTACCCCTTCCACCGTACTATGTACTATACGTTTGCTTGTGCGTGACTTTTTTCTATTTGATAGCAAGAAAAACAAACATCGGAAATATCATGGCTTTTACAGTCACAGTACGATCGTATCGGTTATTGCTTTCGAAATTCAATTGATTATTTTACTTTTTTGGTATCAATTCTCCGTTTTAAAGGTTTTTTTTTTCAATTTTATTTCATTTTTTTTTTTTTTTTTGTGAAATTCTTTAATATTCAGATCATTGTATCAGTACATTTAGGTTAGATAAAGATTGAATAAATACTTTCAACGTCCCTAATTATTATTATAGGCTGAATATAATATAATATATTATAATACATCATAAACTGAAATTAAATTTTTCGAAGGGAAATACTATAAAACAACAGTTCAATATTACGTTTTAAAAAGGTCAGTCTCATGGGAAATTTAAAAGAGTCTTTTATTTATATAAAAAAATACGTAAATAAATTGACACCCGCAGTTAAAAATGGCATATTTTTTCAATTTTATTAGTTAGTTCTGGTTTGCATAAAAAGCTTGAAAAACGAAACAGAAAAATATTGGAATACGAACTAAATGATTAAAAAAAAAAGTAAACAAATAGTCCGTATTACAATCCCTCCTCCCCTTCAACTATAACTCAAAGACCTACCATTAAAATTCTAAACCCGTGGCCATGAAGTATTGGGTACAAGTCCATCTGGAAAACAGCGTCGTCGAGTATAATAGATTAACGACCAACGTCAGTCGATTTTTTTTTTTTTTATTACGATTTATTTTTGTTGTTTCTTTTTTTATTTATAAACACACTTCTCGTATGTAATAATTTGTAGTACATCCATTCGTCAAAACGCATGATCTCTCGTCCAGGTTGATTAACCGAAACTCTTAATGTTTTAGAAAATTAATTTCGCGTTTAAAATCGCAAATTGTTTATTTTTCGGTTTTTCTTTCCTTTTTTTTGGCTTTTTCTTTTGTTCTATCGTGGTTTTTATAACCATTTTTTAATCAATATTAATATATTCCGAGAACGTGGTTTTCAACGACAAAAAAGTTTAAAAATAAAATGGTATTGGTTTCTTGTACTCTCTTTTTTGCTTCCACTGTATTATTTTTCGTCAAAAAAACGAGTGTAGCTCAAAGCGTGTAGATTAATCACTTATTTTAGTAAGAATAAGAGATTTTTTTTATTCTTAATCGCATATCTGTGCGGATTTTGCTATCGAGAAACTTCTTTATTCACACGTATATACTCGTACACATATTTTAACCCTTTGAATATCGGCCAAATAGAAGTTTATTAAAAATTCGATAAGTATAACTTTAAAAAATACAGATAAGTATCATGCGTTTGCATATGACTAACTTTTACAAAGTGCATGATTGTTAATCTGATTTGGCTTCATGAATACGTTATGTATATGTATTAACAACCGTTATTCGCTGAAAAAACTTAAGTACTCATTTCTGGGAACTAGAGTATGTATCTACTGTATGTATTGTATATGATATACAAATAGACACTAAACTAAAAATAAGAATTATGTCGTAAAATTGTACAATTTTATGGTACTCGAATCATTACTTATACGTAATTTTGAACGGTGTAATAAATTAGTTAAATGTTAAATTTTCAATAAAAAATATCATGATAGAAATTTACTCAACTAAAATTTTAATTTTAAGTTTTTTGTTCTATTTATTTTTATCGGTTTAATTATGAACAGTTTTGTGATTTAATTTTGTTTACAATGATATTATTTTCGAAATCGAATTAGATTTTGACCCCATAAGTGTCTTATGAGTAACAAATACTAATAACTGTTACGTCTATGTATTGAAAATTTAAATAATATTTAATAAACGTACACATATAATAATTTATCTTTAAAATAACATTATAAATTCATAATTTAGGATTAAACATTATTTTAAAAAAAACACGATTCCAATAATTGTTAGTTAAAGTACCTATATAGAATATGTTTTTAATCCCTAATAAACCAGTAAAGTAAAATAAACGTTTTCTATTATTTTAATATAGAATTAAATAATTCATTTGATATAATAAATCTAATTTATTGATCAGGTATTATTATTATCTACCAACATGATTTCAAAGACATTAAGTAGTTGTCATTAAACTGTCCATTATGTTTTATCAAAACAACGTCTTTTATGTCTTTACAGAAACCAAAAATTATAACTACTAATGTCGTTGGTATCTATTTAATGAGTAGATATCTGATTAGTTTATTATCTATTATTAACTTCTATTATTAGTTTAATTATCTGATCATCTGATTAATCATCCACACTAATTCACGAATCTCGAAGTTTTTTTAATATTAATTTTAAGTATGGAAATGTGTTTACTAAAATTTTTGCCTCGTAGGAATTTTTTTCAAATATTTGTTATTTTATTCTATTTAAAAACTAACCTATATTTTATTAATATGTTAAAAACAAAAAAAAATATTTTAATACGATCGATTTTTAAGGGCGAATAATACTATTTTTAGGAATAGATATTTTAATCCTCACCCACAAAAATTAAAAAAATCCAAACACTCCAAAACAAATTCCTTAGGATCTCCCTAAAAGCACCATGGTTCATGAGGAATCGCCAAATCCATAACGACACTGGAATACCCTTAATAAGTACCTGGATAAAAACCCAATTCAAAAACTTCCACGCTAATTTAAAAGAATCGGACGGCGGTCATCACTACCAACTAGGAAGCAAAGCCCAAAATAGGCGGCTACAACCTCGACTGTTCCAAGACATACCCCCAACGGACAACGAAGATCCCTCATCAGAAGATGAAGAATAACCAATACTATTAATATTATATTATATTGTATTATAAAACTTATTATTATTATTACTATTATTATTGCATATAACTTAAACTTACTACCATGAACTAATATCATTATATCATTACCATCATCAATTTAAATGTAAAGGATAGATTAAATTAAATCGTAAATATATTTGTAATAGCACCAGGTGTGCTGAAATATTTTTAAAGAATAAATAAAAAAAAAAGATAATTTAATATTTTGTCATAAAACATATTGGTAGTTTTTTAATATATTAATCGGGAATAGTACAAATAAGATTTTGTTTTTTCATAATCCTGAAACTAATTCACCTTATACATTTTTTCATAATAATAATAACTTTACGGTTTCAAGATGTTTCAAATATATTCGGCATTTTAATATTATTGATGCATATCTAATAAATCATATTTCGTGGATTGTAGGTTGTACACGTTTTAGCCCTGTACGCTAATAATAACATGATATATATTGGTGATTATATTTAAAAACAATACAGATCATACTGCAGCGCGTAGTTGTAATGCAAATGACTCACGGAAGAAACACTTAATGTGAGAACGTTGTTTTCGCAATTCGTGTCGTAGGTACGACTACATTAACTAAAACAATGGTAATGTGATTATATTATCGTATGCGCATGGAGTACAGCTGTAGGTAATACTATTATGTAGGCCGTTCCGTCGTGTGTCGGTTGATGCCGTGACTGCCTTCATTTTACAATATCACCCTAAACCCTTTGTTTTATTGCCTATCCCGTACACTATATTATTCTATACGGTTCGTACACACTGCAAAATAGTACACAAACGAGAAACGGAGACGAACATTTACATATATATATATATATTATTAGAAAAATTTAATATTGTAAAATACGATGCGCTTTAACAGTGTTTTGTCATCTCTCTCTCTTTCTCTCTTTCTCTCTCTCTCTCTCAACGAATTAACCGAAAACCGTTGCATATTGGTATTACGATCGCATGTCATTGATATAATTCACTTTCTTCGTTTCTTCCGAACACTCAAAACATTGCCTGTATAAATTTCGATCGTACTACGTAAGCGTACAATTCGTTGTCGAAAAAATAAACGTGTCGACGGTTTAACGCATGAACAATAAGTTAACAATAAGTTGTTCGACTCCTATCCACAACTTGAGTGCTAATACGTTGCCGCGAACCCACAACACACGTCGCAAAGTTTCTCGCTCACACTCGAATAAATAGCATATAAAAAATATAATTTATTTAGCCACGAAGATTTAATGTATGGTAACAGCTGGCTAGCTGATTTAATTTTTATAATTTAATTTCTATGCGTATTCTGATTCACTTGGCAGGCATTATAACCCCAAAATTTCCCGTTACGGCACGGCTCGTGAATAAGAGATCGATTTATGAAGATAGTATACTTGAAAACAGAAAAATTAATTTCTACTTAAACCAATATAGCGATCAGGTATTAAACTAACTTACTATTAATTTACGACTGAAAATATTTCAAATATAATCTATGTGTGGACACAAACGCTGATTTTATACATTACATAGTGTTATGTTGTTGATATATATTTTTTTAGTGTGTTTTCTGTTATAATAATTATGTGAGATATACGTATATATATATCTTGACTAACGGCGTACTTTGTAAATACGAAATTTTAAAAATGTTGCAAGATAAGCGATGAAAATTTATGAAGCTACTGGCTAAATAAACAGTCGATTGCTGTTTTGATAGGAATATTGGGTTTAGACATAAAAAAAGGTGTTCATTCTAAAATGAAGTGGCGATTTCTTTATCACTCACTTTGGAAGATTTGGTAGAACTCCGGTGAACAATTTTGGAAATTACGTCGTATGACGTAGTAACTTTGGTAACTAATTTTTTTCTTGCTGCCGCAATTGACCTCACATCATTGGAGGCTGGTATTTTTGTCTTCTTTTTCATATCCA